CAGCGTGTGCACCCCAGGCCCGCAGCAGGGTTGCTGTGAGCAGAGCCTTGAAGAAGACTGATTCCATGCGACCTGGAACTTGTCTCACTGGGATCCTTAGGAATTGTTTGGGTTTCTCTTGACCCTGTCATTATTTTGGGTTGAGCTTTTATAATAATGATATGTGAGTCTGTGTGAAATTCCTTTATAAAACCTAATTTACTCTGACAAGCACTTTAAAAATACCTATTATGGTTATGAGAAATCACGAAGCGTGACTAAGATGGCCTCTTGCCCTAAAGTTCTTGGTATCTTTGCTTTTTATTTTCAAGATATGAATGTTTTAAACCCCAAGTCCCTAGAATAAAGACTTTCACAAAAAGCCTGCCAGGAGCTAGCCCTTTCATCACACTCCCTTGAGGAGACCTGTGTTTCCAAGGTGGGTCCAGGAAGGACAGGCGCGGCCACTCCCCGAGTCCGAGCATGTGTTTGCTTTTCACCCTGCTGGTAAGCTCGTTGGTCTCAGAGAGGTCTGTGCGGAGAGTTCAGAGCGAGCCTTCGCTGGTGGCCTGGGCCCTGCTCAGCCTGCTCACTCCCCAGAGCGCCTTCTGTGTGTCCTGTGCCAGTCAGCTTTCTGCTGGGTGACCATGGGTACTCTGACTTGTCCCTGGCTGGCTGCTGGTTCCCAAGAGGTGGACGGATTCTCTCCGTGGCTACAGCGGAGACCACAGTGCTTCACCCAGCTGTGTGGCATGCTGAACTCAGATGCTGCCCCTGGCGCGTGGAGCTCCCGCTCCTCCCAGTCCAGGCCAGTCTCCTCTTTCCTGGTGAGGAATGAGGCTCAGTGCTGGGCCGCCCTCCCTCGAGGCCCTGTCTCCCTTTTCCATGTCACCGGGCACGCTGCCACCCAGCACTGGTGGCACTCTGGACAGCGCCCAGGCAGTCAGCCGAGCTCACTCTGCGGTCTCACTTGGCAAATAGAGAAGCTGAGCCCCAGAAGTGCCAGGCCAGGGCCCGCTCACCGGCAGCCTGTGCTCCCTGAGGGCTGCCGTGTCCCTGCTGCCCTCCGGCTCTGCTCAGAAGCAGGTTCAGGAAGCAGGCATCCCGCTGTGTCACTGCAGCACCCCACCGGTCACTGGTGTCCTCCTGACCCTCCTCCTGCTGCCGAGGCACCACCCGTGTCCCAGGACTCTCAGCACTGACCACTGGGGGTGGATTCCTTTGGCCACTCAAAGATTGGTGTCTTTCCCACACTCTTCCGAGAAGAAGACCTGAGACCCTGAGCCTGGGTGGCCAGGACAGCAGGGACACAAGAGGGATGCATATGCCGAGAGGAGGCCGGAATCGGCACAGGCTGAGGACTTCTGACTGCTAAGGTGTAGTGACTGATGTGCTGTCCACCTGAGAAGTCTAAAAGCTCAGCGAAGGGGCTCC